CCCCTGGGGTGGGGTGTGACGCCGAGGCGGGTTGGACACGGACGCCGAGACGCCTCGCATGCGGCGCGCAGTCGACCGCGGTGCGCGCATGCACAGTACTAGGGGCGATATGAGCCCGTCCTGCGGCCGTGCGCCAACAGTCAGCGTGCAGCGCCCGGCGCTGCCCGTCCGCGCGCACCGGCGAATGTGAAGCCCCCATTCAGCCCAGGCTCCACTCGTAAAACGTCTTCCATCGTTTTACGAGGTCCCTGCACGGTGCTGGTGCCTATTTTTAGCGCGGTGGAGGTCTGAGCTTTCTGCGCGACTGCTAGGGCTGCGACAGGGGAGTGCACGCCGCGTCTGAAGTTTTGACATGGCTTCCTCAGAAGTATGCGGCCTCCCGCTGCCTCCCTAGCAGCCACGTCTGGGAGGGAGGATCTGCTCCCGGGGTGTTGCAGCATCGCAGCGATATTGTCGAGAAGTTCGCTATGATTTGTCTTGGAGCAACGTGTTACGCCAATGTTACGAGGTTGTCCAGGCCCCTGTCGAGTTTCAAAGTCAGCAACCACGCACCGGCTCACCGCGGCCCCACCTCACGGTCTGGGCCGCTGAAACTTTTATGAAGCTATGAGCGACATTTAACAAGCCTCTCCAGGCCTGGGGGTCACCCTTCCTCCCGTCCTTTCACCAGGGCACACCTGCACCCACTGCCCATGCACAGATCCCGGTTGACCAAGGTCGCCTTGGGTCGCACAAGCTTGGTTTACATGGCCTATCGCCACTGCCAGCAGCATCTATCTAGCAGACGCACGCACTGGCGCACGTCAGCACATGATCACTGCCAGAAGTGTACGGTTGCCAACAAATATCTCTCTTTGTCAACCTTGCTCCCGTCTGTGCAGATAAGGTGGGGGTGTACGTTCAGTGTTATGTAATGACATCTGTAAATAGACTGCGGCCCGCCAAGAATGGAACCTGTCTGCCGGTCAAACGGCGACGGCCTCTCAGTCAAACTCCAGCTCGTGTGGGTGGACGTCGCGTTTAAGCGGCACCACAGACTGCCGCAGCGTGTCGCGCGGCATCGCCTTGCGCATGTCATAGGCGTCCTCGTCGCCTGAGTAGTACCCTGCAAATGATGAGCGCAGTCAGGTGAGGATTGACGGCGTTGGGGTGGGCGTGCCAAGCAGGAAAGCGTGGCACAGGTGGCGTTGCCAAGATGAGAAGATGCAGAGCCATGTCCCACGCAACCCCTGCGCGTGCTGGATGAGCGAACCGGGCCTGATTTGGGCCAGATGTGCGCGTCTGCAGGACAATGCCTCACCTAGCACTTTTCTGTACACGCTGTACCCAAACCCTTGGTACATTTTTATCGCGACCTGTGAGGGGCGGGACCGGGCAGACGCACGCGTTGCGCTAAGAGAGACACAGAGTTGCCGGCAGTGCTGCCGGCTTAGCAGGCAGGGGAAGCTGGCGTGTGGGCACGAGGCAGGAGCTTGGAGCCCACCCATGCAGGGCACAACTCAAAGCACCCCAGACCCGCACTGCGGCATTCAACAAACAGCCCTTGCCATGCGATAATGCCCCCATCCCACACTTCCATTCCGATGACCGACAGGTGGCCCCGCCCCAGCAGCTGGTCTGCGTTGCATGCAGCAATGTGACCAACCTCAGCTTCAAAGCGGAAAGCGGAACCTTCCCGCGCACCTGGTTGGACACCCTGACAAACAGGTCGACAAAGTACGCGTCGTGCACCTTCTCGGTGACTTCCTCGAGGATCCACATCAGCCGCCGCGCCAGCCCCTGCTTCCTGCACAAAGGCACGGGTGGCGGGAGGCGCTCGGCCGCTTGGTGCGCTGTTGCCACGATCAGGTCCCCCTTGCACACACCCCGGCCACGTGGCCCGTACTACAACCAAAGCAAGCTCCTCGGGTCGGTCCCCAACGAAAATGGCTGCGACTCGAGCGCCCCAGGTGCAGCATGGGGCCACACAAGCGCCTTGGGGCGGTCCCCGCAAATAGTGCTGCGCCCGGAGCCCCCCCCAGGTGCGGCATTAGGCAGCACCCACCTGAAGTCGGGCGCGACCGTCACCGCCGTGACGTGGCCGTGCCAGCTGGTGCCCTCGCCCTCGGCCTTGCCCAAGATGTATCCCATTGCCTGGCGGCCGGGCGCCTCCGCCATGATGCAATACTCAGGCCATCGCGCCAAATACTGCGGCGCAGCGGGGCGTGTTGAGGCGCGAATGCATGGGTGTGTGCAGTTTGGTATGGGATGCATCCTGCCGCTCGCACTTGCGCAAACGCCGGTCCTGACACGGGCCCCAAAGGCAAGAGTGTGGCGGCATCTGCAGCGTGTGCAACAGAGCGCAGACAAGCCCGCTGCGGCGCAGGGCGGGGTGCGGCACCCTGCTAGAGTTAGCGCGGACGGCCGTCCGTGCAGCTGCAAGGCTGCTGCGCTGCCAGCAGCCCCCAGTGCTTGGATTCAGATTGGAGTCACAAACACGTGTGAGCCTCTAGAGGAGGGCTGATTGTTGAGGCTCCCATGGGGATCTAATACTGCAAAGGCCCTGGCCGGCCCGGTGCCCGCTGTGCGCCGCTGCCCTTTGTGCACGGCAGCCGGCCCCACCCCCAAACCTGCAGGTAAAATGGCAGGTTGTACGTCTCAGTAAGGATATCCAGGTTCACGTTGTTGAAAGTGAACAGGTCATCGCACGTGAAGCGCCGCAGGCTCGTCATCCCGCCGCGCGCTTGGGAGGTCGGGGGCGCCGTGCTGCGAGCCTACGGCGCTGTCCTGGGCGCGCGGCGCTGTCGCGCCGGGGCCGGCGGGATGGGGCTGATCGCAGCGGCCGGCCGAGAGGCAGGGGTGCAGCTGAAGACAGACAGCACAGAGCGGCACACTGTGGGATGGGGTTGGGAAGCAGGGGTGTGTGCCAAGCGCCTCGAAGGACCCCAGTGCTGCAGGGCGACTGCTGCAGCAGCAGCAGCAGGAGCAGTGACAGCGCACTAGTTGGAGGGCGGGACGGCTTGCACCGTTCCTGGGCCACTGGAAAGCTCTGTCACCGTCCCGTTTCAAAACGTGCCCGTGCAGAGCGGCCTGAGCACCATGAATGCGCTGCAGTTGCCTTGCTCATGTTGTGCAGCGCTGCGCTCGAGGTGTGCACCAGCTGGACAACACACGCCGCGCTGGCACCAACTGCATGATATCAATGTCATATAAGCTATGCCCACAACCCGCGGAGTGCTACACCTCCATGCGCTCACAGTGCGTGATGCCGGCTTGATCAGTGACGCGATCTTGTCTGCCCGCACACGACTGCGGTTAGCAGATGCACTGTGCGGGCGATTGTGATTAAAAAAATTACTTTGCCTTTTTTGCTGACATGGCCGCGGTGAGCCCCCACCGTCGAGACAACTCAGCGTGGAATCCAAAGCGAATTGTGCGTTGGGTGCAAGCCTAAAAATCTTGTGTATGCACCATTAAATCACCTGAATTTTCCTGAAATTATCAGCTCGCTTGCCGTCGTCCCTATAACCGCATCCAAGAGAGAGGCAGGAGCGCGTTTCATGACCAGCTGTGCACGCGACGGCAGCTGAGCACCGAAAGTACCAGAGGTGAATTATTAAGCGTTAATATTTCTCACTGGCACCAGTGGCGTGGGGCGGCGCGCACAGTTCGGGTCGGCGTCGTCGGCCTCGTACCCTGTGTGAGAAGCACGGACTTGCCCCACATTGGTGTGGCAAGCAGTGCGTTGGAGCCAAGCTGCAGCAAGCCTAAATTCAAAGCTACAAACCAACAGTTGCAACTTTGCATCTCTATATTCAGGCCTGCCGGCACAACTGGACGGCTGGCGTGCGCCAGGTCAGCCCACCATTGACCCCACAGGTCTCCATCACAACTGAGCATGGCGGCACCGCAAGCGACGACGGCGGGCCTGCTGCTGCTGCTCGTAATACAGGCAACCGCAGCCCTCGGCCCACCCTCCAGCGGCGGCGCTGCGATAACAGACATGGGTGCTGCAGACACCGTCAGCGTTCCTTGGGCGCCCTCACTCCTTCCGCTGTATCACACAAGCACGGCTGCACACGCTCCCGGGGCCCCTGCCCCGAGCGCGGCAGCACGAACTGCTAGCAGCTCTCGAAGCAGCGGTGGCGCCGTCGCCGCACTACAAGGGGCCGCGCCAGCACCGGCCCCAGCGGGCGCAGCGCTGCGCCCCGGGCTGATCGTGGTCGGCCACCGTGGCGCGAGCGGGCCGCTGCCGGAGCACACGTTTCCGTCGTACGAGATGGCTATTGCAGGCGGCGCTGACTTTGTCGAGTGCGATGTGCAGCTGACGGCGGACCTACAGGTGTGGGTGTGTGTGCATGCGTACGTGTGTGTGTGTATGTGTGTGTGTGTGTGTGTGTGTGTGTGTGCGCGCGTGAGCGCATGCGCGCGTGTCTTACTGCCTGCATACATGCGTACGTGTGAGCGCATGCACGTGTGGACATGCGAGCGTGCATGCGTATACGCGTACGCATGTGCATGTTCAAGCGCAAAAGCATGCATGCGTGAGTGCGTGCGCATGGGTGTTTTTGTCTGTGATTTAACAATGCCGGTGGTGTGCATGAGTGTATCTGGCTTGCCTGCAGTGTGCGTTGCGAGCCAAGGCTGGTGTGTCAGGGACTCGCAAGACAGCCTTCTCCCCCAAGCATCCCCAAATCAGGGCACTACGTGCTTGTGGCTCGTGTCAATCCCAGGCTGCCCGTCTTTGCCCCCCACACGGACGGGCACCCGATCCACCACTCTGGCCGCTCCGCCCTCACCCCGGCAACTTACGAATTGCCTCTTTGCCCCCCCCCCCCCAGATGGTCTGCCGCCATGAGCAGAACCTCAATGAGACGACGGACGCCCTTGACAGGTTCCCCGACCGCGTCCGCACGCACACCATCGACGGTGAGCGCGCGCATGCCCCTCTCTGTGCTGCGATAACGGCCCCCGTCCAACTTCACGTCGGCCTACCTGTGGCCGCGGCATCCTCGCGAGAGGGCAGGGCGCGACCGCTCATGGTCAGAGCCTCGCACCGCACATTGCCGGGCGCCCTCGAGCCTGGCGCTGCTTTCCACAAGTCTCCATTCCCAGCAAGCTTCTGGGCCCTGAGAAGAGCGCGCTGAGGACATCGAGAAGCTTCCACCTCTTGATTACGCAAGCATGTGAACCACTTGACCTTGTATTACTAATCCAGGCGAGGAGTCCACGGGGGTCCACGCGATCGACCTGTCACTGGCGGAGCTGCGGACACTCAGGGCACGGCAGCGCTTCCCTTTCCGGGACCAGAGCCACAACGACAGGTTGGGGGCAGGAGACAGCATGCGTGCTGCATCGTAGGGGAGGAGCATGGAACGTGAAACGTGTAAAAATCGGCGTATCATGCATGCATTGAAACGTTCGGACACCCTCAACGCTGCCAGGCAATCATGGTCGTTGACAAACTCACAACATATGTCACCCCCGCGTCACTCAGCGTCACCCGGTGCTGCGCGTCGTCACCCGCGTCGCAGGTACCCCCTGGTGACCTTCCACGAGTTCCTTGACCTGGTGGAGCGCGCGCCGCGCGTGGTGGGGGTCTACCCAGAGACAAAGCACCCGACGTGGCACAATGCGCTGCCGCAGGTGCGGCCGGGCAAGGACGACTGCAGTCGGCTCCAGTTTACTGTCTCACTAGTGCCTTACAGTCACAGGGGTGCCTCACAGTGAATCTGAACTTCTCGTCAGCAGACCCCCTTGCACAAGAGATGCGTGTTGGATGATGTGCCCCTTATCGGGTCCATACGCCGCCACTCCTTGACCTCACCACCCCCCTCCTGGGGATTCATCCCCCTCTCTCCAACCAACACCGCACCCGCAGCTGCGCGCCGCCAACACCACCATCCAAGAGCTGGTCGTGTCGGCCCTCCACGCGCGCGGCTACGGGCTCGGCGCCCACGGCAGCCCCGAGTGGCGCGCGCGGCCGGTGTTTGTGCAGTCCTTCGAGATGGGTTCCATCAGGGACATGGCGGCGGCCACTCGGATGCCGCTCGTGCTGCTGCTCGGCGGCTGGTGAGCGCCCGTCGTCGCCTTTCTCCGCTGCTACGCACCGCGTCAGGGCCATTCGGCGCCGGCCCAGCCGTGCTTTGCAGGAACTTCAACGGACTGCTAGCTGCAGGGCAGGTGTCATGCGGCGCTCAAGTACCACCTGCTGCTTTGGATCATGCGATCGCATCACCTGCGGCTCCGTTGCCGTTGCGTCTGACCCCCTCACTCCAACGCGACGGCCGCGCCTGCCCCCAGGCCCGGCTACCGCGCGCCCGACTCGGGGATGACTCACGAAGAGATGACGTCACCGGCGGCCCTGGCGGAGGCGGCGCGCTACGTTGTGGGTGCTGGGCCGTGGAAGGGCAGCCTGTTCACCACCGTGGAGGACGACGTCCTCCCTGCAACTGACGGCAGCAGCAGCAGCAGCAGCAGCGACAGCGACAGCAGCAGCAGCAGCAGCAGCAGCAGCGACAGCAGCAGTAGCATTGAATCTAGCGGTGGCAGCGACAGCGGCCGCAGCAGCACTCAAAGCAGCAGCAGCGAGCAGGGCCTGTCTGCAGACGCCGCCCACGACATGAGCCTCAGCGCCGCGGCCACCGCCGCGGGCGGCGCCCGCCTGGTCTCCACCGGCCTCGTGGCGCGCCTCAAGGCGGCGGGGCTGCAGGTGCACCCCTACACGCTGCGCGACGAGCCGCGGTTCGTGCCGGGCCCCTTGGGGGGCGACGTCGGCTGCGAGCTGGCGCTTCTCTTTGCGGCCGAGGGCGTCGACGGCATTTTTGCGGACTACCCCGCCACAGCGGCGGCTTGGCTGCGCGCGCGGCGCGGGGCGGTGGGAGAGGGAGATGTGGAGGCGGGCGTACGGCGAAGGGAGGGAGGGGAGGGGGTGCAGGGGGCGAGGCCGAAGGCGCCGGCCGCAGGGCTGCCGTGGTCGGCGGCGCTATCGTCGCTCGTTGGGTTGCTGCCCTCCTTGCGAGTGGCGTGATGTGCGCCCCAGCTCTGTCCCATGTACAACTGCCAACCGATTGGGCGCCTGGGGACCACATCGAGCGATGCTTGAGGACGGTTGGGGGAATGAAGATGAGAGGACGGGAGAGGCTTGAATCAACCCCCCATTTTTCAGTGCAGCGACGTTTTGTGCTTGTTTTGTTCCCCGCACTCCTGTTTTACCGCTATTCGTGGCCGCAGTGGTGGGGCGTTGGAAGCAGCAACCGTGTGGTTGGCCGTTCACCATTTGTGACGGCGTGGAGTGTTGACAACACAGTGTCGTGAAGGATGAGTTTGACTTAGCTGTTGCATCTGGTGCCCTGCTTTGAGTTGGCCTTGGGTTGAGTGATGCCGTGCCTGTGTGGCACAAATACGTGTGCCGTGTTGACCGATTCAACTCTAGTGTTTCTTTGCCCATGCCTTCTTCCCAGCCGCCCCCATCCTTGTTTGCAAATCACGCCGCTCATGCCAGTGAACGTCATGCCATCTAACAATCACACCGGCATGAGAATGGGTGTGCTTCTCATCCAGCCAGTTTCCAAGGAAAGCCACTCAAGAAACGTGAGGAGGCATTACACACGCGAAGCTGCCAACTTGAAAGCAGCACCCATGATCTAGGCCGTGTGTGTCCTTATTGCGAAAGCAGACTTGTCATACTTGCGGGCTGTGGCGGCACACACATCCTCCTTAGAATACTACAAGGTGTGCGGGGGCCGGAAAAACCCAGGGGCCATTGCCACCTGGGACCAGCGAAGCCTTTGGTATACCAAAGGCATGTGGCCCCAACAGGCACGGCCATGCCCTTGCCCGCAGCCTCCCCCGGGGCCAGAGTGGGCGCGCGGTGGCGCGAGCACCTAAGCACGTCGCACGGTGTTCGGGCGGCACAACATACATGATTTTGGGCGGGGCGAGGCAGAAGGCACCCAGGATGACAACACATTGTGGCGCGCGGCGGACGCCAGCGCCGATGCAATTGCGAACCCCGGGGAAACGAGCGGCCGGCGCTGCTCAACTTGGTGCCCTGGCTTTGCGCGGCCACCCCGCCTTCGCAGCCTGTTGCTCAATCCCACGCAGACAGGCTACCATCCATCCCCGATGAATGAAAATTGGCTTGAGACGCGAGCGCAATCTGACATGGAGGAGTGAAAAAAGCCTTGCCCCCCGGGCCCCGGCCCGCTCCACGGTGGGAGGGGTGCGGGCGTTCTCAGTTGTGTCGGGCAAAGATCGCCTCCTGCTGCATATGGGAGCCACTGCCGCCCTCAAAACAGGGCCACCCGCTGCTCCCGGAAAGCCGTGGTATGCGCGCCACGACACATCGGCATGCGTTGGGCGCACATTGCGGGATGCGTTGCATCGATATGCGGGGTGTTGGGGGCGAGTGTGTGTTTGAACAAAAGAATCCCGTGCCAGTTGGGGACGCCCGCAGCTGGCATGCAGAAATGCTGAGATCAATAAAGTAGAGCCAAAAACAGGCAGCGTGTGAAGCTGCAGACAGCGCGTGACAGGACGCGCCAACACAAGCCCCCAGGGACGACAAGCGGCAGCGCTGTGCGTTGCACACGCGGCTACCGCCGAAGAGCCCTGCGGCGGGCCTTGGGGCCGGCCGCGGCTGCAAGCCGGGCGCCGCTATTAAATGCGAGGGAGCCAGCAGCTGAGAAGCCCCCCGGCGGCGAACATCGGAGCCGCGGAGGACGAGAGGAGGCGGGTCGCCATCGGTGATGTCACAGCATGCTGGAGTGCAGGGCAAGCGCGAGGGAGAAGAAGCAGGGCCGCTCGGCGCGTTGCTGCAGGGCGCACGCCCTCGAGGCGAGCGCTTTCGGCTGGGGCTGCGGCTGCGGCTGCAGCTGCGGCTGCGCATGTGCCTGCGCCTGCACATGCGCACGCGTCGCGGCGGGGGCGCGCTTGTCACAGACGTTCAAGTCCCGCAGCACCGGCGCTGGCGCGTCGGCGGCTAGTGGGGCGATGACCAATGTGCCGCCGAGCAGCTGCGCCGCGGCGGCAGCAAACTCGTGCGAACGCGCGGCGTAGGCTGCCGCCGGCCGCCGCGGCCCTGCGATGCCCGTCGCGCGCCGCTGGCCGCCGCGGCGCTGGGTGCGGGTGATGTGGACGCTGCTGCCGCCAGCAGCGCCGCCGCTGGGGCGCAGCACGACCGCCGCGCCGAGCGGCGCAAGGACGGGATGCACAGCGGCGAGCAGGCTGTTAGTAGAGTTGACAACAGCATGCGCCGCTGCCAGGCTGCAGCAGGTGAATGAATATGGATGGGAAGGCAGAGGTGACGGTGGGGGTGACCGGTGGTTGAGGCAAGGGGATGTGACTGTGCTGTGTCGCCGCGCACATGGTGCGCTTTGGCCGCCAGAGTGTAGTTGAGCATTCAAGCAAAAATATGCTCTCTCCTCTGCGACTTGGAGGCTGATCGGGCTCGAACGCGCTGGTCAGCCGCCAAAGAGGCCTGGCACCCCTCGGCCGCGCCAGGCGGGACGACGTGCCCCGACAGGCGGCGTCCCACAGGCAGCGGGCTGCAGCTTCGCTGCGCAAAAATGCATCTCATGTATCCATGATGCCGGTGCAGTCACGCGAGGTCACCCACAAACGCCATAAGCCGAGTCTTTCGGAAAACCCCGCCCACCTGGTCTGGTAGGGTGAGGTGGTCATGGTGTCTCTCCAAACAAGCTGTGCATGCGATACAGTGCTGCAGACGGGATCTTCAGGCTGCTGTCTGCCCGGCGTTGCTGCAGCGGCTGGAGTGCAGGTTGCCAGAGATCGTGCGGCGGGTGATGTAGTGATAACGCTGTAAAGGTTTAAACGTAATTTCAATAGGATCGTGTGGGGAGGGTCATGGGAACGCTGGCAGCCGTGGACGAAGTGTCTACGTGGCAGTCTGCAAAGTGAAACGATAACGGCAAACTGCAACGGCCTATTGTATTGCTTGATGTAATCAGTATGATTTCATTTCTAGAAGAGGCGACAAGGCCGACCGGCTCGGGTGCTGTGATGGCATTGGGGTGATGATCCTGGTGTGGTCGCCACACAGGCAACCGCTGCAGTTGCATTGGGTTTTTCATTGCACCGGTTTGGAACGCTCAGCTCCCAAACGTTGCGCACAGAATGGACTGCATTCAAGGCTGCACATGGGTTATCAAATGTACAGCGCTTGGTGGCGCACCCAAGTCCTCGTCAGCGGCAACTCGACGGCTCTGCTTTGTCTGCACCAACAAATGCATACGCCTGGCCGCAGGGGGTCAAGGCTCGCATGCTGTGGTTGTGCGCCAGTATGACACTAGCAGGATAAGACACGCGCGTGCGACTCTTACATGGAGTTAACGGGTCAGAATACTGGGTGGTTGATACCTGGTGTGGACTAGCACAGCCAGTTGTGGCGTCATTCGCGCTCCGCAAACCGCGCTCTCCAGACACATCCCTCGGCAAAACTGTAAGCACTGCTGTCTGCGCAACCGTAGCAGACACCGTCCGGCACAAAAAGACCTTCAATAGCATCAAGACGGACCAAAAACAGGCGCGAAGCAGGCACGACGGCGCACCGGCTGCAGCCAGCAGGCAGGCGGGTAGCGCGTGGGACGAGCACCACCATTGCTGCCAGCAGTATCACGAGTTGTTGTCCGGGAGGTCGACCACCGCGTTCTCTCCCGCCCGCGCCTTCACAAACGCCTTCATTGAGTCTGGCGCGTAGAACTTGGCCTGCGTTGTGTGAGCCATGGGGCGTCACATGTGTTGTGGGGGGCTTCGAGGGCAGGAGGGGCTGGCGGCGCGCATGCGGGAGGCGTTGAGCGTTCGTGCGTGTGAGGGAGGTACAAGAGGGGGGAGCTGCATAAAGTCGTCATAACTTTCATGAAGGCGAAGCGAACACCTACAGCCGGCACCCAAGGGCTCTGCTGAGATGCCCGCGGCACTTGCTGCAAGGAGCACCCCCCTCTTCCCCACAAATGGCCCTGCGACCCCGCCTCCCCGCCACAGCCCTGGAATGGGCTCCGCTGCCTCCCAGCGGTCCAAACGCGGCCCCCCTGGCGACCTTGGTGTGTGGAGAGGGGGGAGGATGAGGGGTGATATAGGTGGGGGGGTGTAACGGAGGCGTCGCCGCCTACCTGCAGGAACATGCGCTCTGCGTCGCCGCGCCGCCCCCGCTCCTTCAAGAAGACACCCTTGGCCAGGTATCCTCTGAAGTCCTCGGGGGCGGACCTGAGGTGTGTGTGTGTGTGTGTGTGTGTGTGTGTGTGTGTGTGTGTGCGTGTGTGTGTGTGCGTGCGTGCGTGCGTGCGTGCGTGTGTGCGTGTGTGTGTGCACGTGGGCATATGTGTGGCGGCAGGTGCACGTTCTTGGCGAGCGTATACGGATTTGCGCGGGGTTGTTTGGATGTGGAGAGCCGGTAAGAGTGGCTGGATGAGTGGTGCAAGTGGGTGGGCGTGGAGGCGGAGGTGCAACTGGGGGTGAGGGGGCTGGCGTGTGTGAACGTGTGCACATGCGTGTGATCGTGCACATTTATGAGCTTGCATGTCGATGCATGCTAGCATGGGGTGCATGCATGCATGGGAGGGGGCCATGCGCGCTCCAATTAGGGAAGTGCCACATATGCCAGCACAACATGCCCAAGCGCATGTGCAGCTTGGGTGCCGGTTTTGCAGGCCCCATGACGTGGAATGACTTGAAACCCTTGCCAGGGCACCCCTGAGTGGCAGCCTGGTTCGGCAGCCCCCCCCAACTCTCTTGCCCTGGGCAAGGATTGTGCGTCCCACCCACTTGATGAGTGCGTCATATGCAGAAAGCGCGTCCGCATCGTGCCCGCGCCAGCCGGCGTACGCCTTGCCCAGCAGCAGCTGGACAGCCACTGGGTCCACCGGCCGCCGCGGCCCCGCCGCCGCCGCCGCCGCCGGCGCTGCCGCCGGGGCGTCGCCGCCGCTGCTGCTCGCGGCGGCCGCCTCTGCGTCACCCGACAGCGGCGGCGCGGGGAGCGAGTCCAGGACCGCCCCAGCCTCCGCCTCCGCCTCGGCCTCGGCGGCGGAGGCGGCTGCGGGCGCGGCTGCCGGCGCGGCTGCCGGCGCGGCTGCCGGCGCGGCTGCCGGCGAGGCTGCGGGCGCGGCGGTGGCTTGGGCGGGCGGCGGCGCTGACAGGAGCTCGTCGCGCAGCTGCGTGAGGCGCGCCACCGCCTTGGACTGCTGGCCGTTTGCGATGTACGCGTCAGTCAAGCCCTGCGTTGCAGGCCGAACGGGCACGCAGCACCGCGTACCATTGGTGGAGGGGGAATGATGACAACTCAAACCACACGGGCCTGGAAAGGCCGGGAGGAGTAATCAGCCAAAAACCCAGATAGGACATCTATCAGTTACAAGGCAGGGCTCTGCCTTGTGGTATTTCCAGCAAGGTTCCCTCCACCCCCCAAAGCCAGCCTCGGAGAAGCACCGGGAAGCTGCCGAGAAGCTGCGCGCGCGTCCCACCGTCAGGATCTGCTGGTCCCGGGGCTCCAGGGCGATCGCCTTTTCATACGCGGCGACCGCGCGCGGCGCCTGCGCGGACAGGAGGGACGCCTCCCCCAGCACGCGCAGCACCTCCGAGTCGCCTGCGCGCGGGCAGGACCAAAAAAGGGTTGAGCGTTGCGAAGAAGAGTTGAGGGTGTAGGGCTTGGGCGCGGTGCGGGGGGCGTGGCGGCACAGCTCCTTGCGCCGCAGCGCGGATCATGTTGAACTGAAAACGCCCGAATGCGAGACACGAAACGGCTGCGTCGGCCACAGATCCACATCCGCGTGTTGTCCCAGCCAGAAGCTGGGCGCCGGCTACAAAGTCACGGGGCGGCGCACCTGGCCGCTTGGCGACGACCTTGTCCAGCAGGTCCGCAGCTTCCTCGTAGCTTCCCAGCCGCGCCTGGGTGACGGCCAGGCCTTCGAGGGCAATCAGGTCCTGTGGGTTGCGCTCCAGTAGGGCCCTTGAGGGGTGGGCGCAGCGACGCAAGGGGAAGGGGGGAAATGCGCGGGTGACACAGAGGGGAAAAGGAGGGGTGTGCGACAACGGGGATCCCCAGAGTGCAGGAGGGGGGCCCTAAACAGAAGCGCGGGCGCGTGCGTGCGTCGCCAGAGGTGCATGCACCCCTAGCGACGCGCGTGAGCGCGCGCGTCTCGGCCCTAGGGGCTGCGCGGCGCCGCACCTAAAGGAGGCGGCCTGGGTCTCCAGCAGCGCGGCCGTGCGCTCGTCAGGGGGGCCCCTGGCGGACCGCACGCCCTTGTACCTGCGGCAATCGGGAACAACAAAAACAGGGGTTGGGCAACAGGCGAGGTGAGAGGAGGAGTGGCAGCGCGCTCGGCGCCGGCTCGACCAAAGGGGCAGAGGCGAGCTCCGTCCAAAGGAGGACAAAATCTCCAGCGCGGCCCCTGGATACTGAGTGCATGCCAGGTCAGCGTCGGCCGAATCGCCGCCAGCCCTGAATCAGGCAAGCCCCCTCTCGGCAGGGCTGGCAAGCGAGAGCCAGCCCTAGTCTAGGGCCGTATGGCAGCCCCTCTGCGCGCCTGTTTGGCCCGGGGGACATGTCGGCGCCGCTGACGAGGATGAGCACGAGCCCCAGGACGATGGCCCCAACTGCCAGGCCGACCTTGTCGGGCCCTATGGCCGCCTTGCTGTAGATGGGCAGGCAACGGGCAGCCATGAAACAGCATGGAGGCGGGCATCAGGGGGTGAACACTGGGCCAGGACGATTTGCTGAGCTGTCATGAGCACAGGCGCGCAAAGACAGCCGCGTCCTGCAGGCAGCTGCGGCGCAGCGGGACCATGCGAATGTGGGCTGGAACTGGCTGGAGCGGACTGGACCCGGCTGGACCGGACTGCGCTGGACTGGTCGGGGCGGCGCACCGTAGCGCAGGGTCGCTGATGTCGGACTGCATCTTGTCCATGAGGGTCTCCGACAAGCTGGGGGGCGCGGCGTATATGTCATCCACCTGCAGCGCGTTTATGGGGCAGTGACCGGCGCGCTCCTCCCTTGAAGTTTTCTCGAGTGGAGACGGCACGGCGCAATGTTGACTATGAAAGGGGGGCTTGTAGGCTGCGAATGCGGGCATGCGCAGCCTGCCCTCTCAACGGCACCCACCCATCATGACCCCTACGCGCACCTGCGGCGCCGCGTCGAACACAGCGCGCTGCGGGCCCGCGGCCGTGGTGGCTGCGGCGGCCCCACTGGCAGCGGCTGCGGCCTGCTTCTCGCGCCCCTCTGCCTTGACCAGCGCCAGCCGCTGCAAAAACTCCGACTCATCTTCCGCTTTCCTGCAATAAAATGCGGACCAGGGCCGGTATGCATGATTTGCTGGCGCACAAATGCTTGCTGGATTGAATGCGCAGAGGAGGCTCAGGCGCCGCATGGGGCTTGCGACCCCCTGCACAGGGCTGCTGGCTGGCGCCAGTGCCTGCTGCTGCAGCTCGCTCGCTGTGCTGGCTGCACGAAAGCGGCGCCGAGCTATCTCCGAGGGCCTCTGGCACACGGCGCTGCGGCTGCCTGCGCGCCCTCCGCTTCTGGCACACAGCATAGCGTTTCTGGAACCCCCGGCAGCCAGTGGCACGCCAACGCAGCCTCGCTGCTGATCCCAAGGACTCAACACAGAAAATTTATCACCCACTTGCTGGAATCCAGGAGTTCGTCCACCCGCTGCAGCTGCAGCTCGTTCAGCGCCCCAGGCACGCGCTGCGGGCCCGCCGTCTGCTGCTGCGGCGCGCCACGCTTCGCCTTGCGCTTCTTCTCAACGTCCTGCATAGCGGGCGGGCGCATTCGTCCATGTATGGGTCGGCAGCATGTGAGTGCATGCACATTCCTTGCACCCTGCTTTGCGCAGAGCGCGGCATGCAACGCTGCCCCCCCTGGTCCCAGATGCAGTGGCAGCGGTAGCAGCGTCGGTGACAATGCAATTGTGTGGCGCCAGACATCAGTTTCAAGGCTTCTGCGCGCCACCTATGCATTACATAGCACTCAAACACTGCTCCCCGCAGCGTCATTGAGGCTCATTGGGCTGGACGCACAACTTGATAATTGCCCATGTCGCACCTGTGCCTGCTTTGCAGGCCCAAAGCCTTTCTTTGCATGTACCAACACGGCGCGTTTGAAAGGGCGCATGCCGGGCATCCCGAGCGCGGCCATGCCGCGGCGCGGTCCCAGCACGCAGATCTGGCTCATTTTTGAGACTGTTACCGCAAACTAAGCAATCAAGTGTGTTCAAAGATATCAACGCTGCAGCTATCAGATGAGAACTGGCGGGCGAGCTTTCGCCCCGTTGACTCATGCAGGTCAGCAGGGGCGCACTCAATTCAATGCGCCAGCACTCATATGATGACAACGAGCAGGCTGTGCCGAATGCCGACACGGGGGATCTGACAGCATGCCTGTCGCTTATCTGCTGCACGGTTTGTCACCTCGGTGGGGCATGGCACAGCACCTGACGACAGGCGGGGCCCGAAATTGGCGAGACCCCAACGTCAGGAGCGCAGCAGCGCAGCACACAGGAGTGCGCACGCTGCCGTGACGTCGTGCTGATCAGCGCCTCCAGATGGCGTGGGCTTTTGAGCTGGTGCAGTTGATCACATGCCACGATCAGGCAATGGGCATCCAAGGGCATATGTAGAGCCCTTCGGAACCACTGTCTCAGACGCATCCATCAGTAGAAGCACGGAGGGCACCACTGTTAAAAGCTTTCAAATCCCTCGGGGCTTCAGCAAAGGTTTGGGGCCTGATAGGAGAGTTCAGACGCTTTTGCCATTCATCCCTGACGCGCGTATCGGTACACAGCCCACCCCCTCATTTCAGCGAGGGTCAGTCAGTCGCAGGGAGTGTTGGTCTTGCTTTGCAACCACAGTGCTTCGGGTTGCAGGGCGCTGGTGCGAGAAGTGGGCAGCCTTGGCTTGTGCCATGGACCCGGATTCCCGTGTACGAGTCCGCAGCGCCTGCTGCCACGCGATTTCCTAGACGCATCTGATCGCCGCTCAATCTTAGCGCCCCAATGTGCTAGGCTTTGCCGTTACTGCTCGCAACCATCTCCCCGAAAGGATAGGGACGACGCACAAACCCTTGCTACTTGGATCTTGCTGGTGTCACCACTCACGCATCCCTGGCTGCAGCATGCCAACGGGCGTGGCTGGCCCATCCAGTCAGAGGTGCAAGGATTGTGATTGTGTGCAAGCACAGTCAGTTTTGTGCGCGAGCACAATAATGTCTGGCAATCTGCAGTGTCCGCGGCGACAGGTGTGGCAATGCACACTAAGGCAATCCTGCCTGTAAGGTTTTGAGGTTGCTGCGACAGTGTGGCGCGGCGCTGTGTCATCGTTGGTTGTGTTGTGTCAGTTAAAGCGCGTACATTCGACTGCAGCTGCACGTGGCGAGATTTCCTTACCATATCAACCATGCAATCTGAGCGATGTGAATCAAAAGCTTTCCCCTCGCAGCACACTTGATTTTTTTTCGGTATTCGGCACACTTGCTCACAAGCGGCGGCAGCCACGCGGCTCCAAGCGGGAGCCCAGGCGAGGTTGGACGAGGGGGGGGGGTGGAGGCGTGGCGGCAAATGGCAGCAAGTCCTGCCTTAGAGATGCCACAATGCATCCCTAGCTCAATATTGGGTGCTGGCACGCATGGCAACGTTCTCGACAGCTCGCGCCGTAATCAGCTGCAACTGCAGCAACGGTGGGAAGTACTGAAGTACTACGGCCGCGATCCAAGGCGGTGGTGGTGGATATGCAGCGTATATCTGTTGCAGAATCATGCAAGAAGATGTCGGTAAATGTCAAGTTGTCAAAAAAGCAATGTGGTGCGGTGCCTGAGATGTCCTCAGGATGCTGGGGGCACACGCGGCAGCACGAGCGAGTCTCAGGCAGCATGAGCACCAGCGGATCAGGCGAGGCGGAAACGTGTGGCGCCACGCATGATATCCAGGGCTTTAAAAGAACTCTAAACAGCATATATCACGGCTACTTGAATGTTCGAAGGGAGGCGTACGAACGATTTCGTGCGCGCCCATGCTGCAGGTCGATCTCAGGCAGATCTGGTTGATGGTGAAAGACTTCCAGCCGCTAAAACGATTGCATGCAATCACTGTATACATGCACTGCCACTGGTGTGCTAGTCGGCGTCAAAGGTGGTCGTCGAACACCACACACCCGACACCAGGGCTGACAACGTGCACAATCAGTTTTGCGACCATGCACATTGCAATCGGTTCTGATTGCACGCATTGATACAGCATATCGTGACTCCAGTTGTCGCTTGATTTCAGAATTGTGGCCACCAGAGCAGCGATTGCTCTCGCTTGAATTGTGCACTGCGTCAGCCGTGCATGAGGTTGGCCCTCCTAAGAGCCATGCGCATGCACACTTCCCAGCCGGCGCTGCGCCGAGCGGCTGGCTGCAGCTTCGCCGGCAGCGCGCCCGCCGCTCGACCGCCGCATTCTGCAGCAGCGGCGCGGCGCCTCGCGACGGTCAGCAGGGCGGCGCTCGACGTCGCCGAGGCACCCGCGACGACGGCTGCGGGCGCCACAACCGCGGCGCGGGAGCGGCGGGAGTTCAAGCCGCGGGTGTCGGTCCGGGAACTGCTGGTGGGTTTCCCCCTCTCTCCCTTTTGTGTGCCATGGGGCGGTGCTCAGGTACAGGTTGGGCCCTTCCAAGTGTCAGACCCCTTTGGCTACCCTAGGTGCATGTCACGACATCGGCATGGGATGCGGCAGCATGGGCCAAAGCATGGTTCGCTTGGCCAGAGAATTATTTGCGGCCTTGCGGCAGGTGCACTTGAACCAACCCCTTGCCTGCAATCCACTCTCTTGCTGCCTGGCACAAACGCAGCGCACCGGCGAAGGCGCGCCGGCGGCTGTGGGGGATGCTGTGGAGGTGAAGGGCTGGGTGCGGACTGTGCGCAACCAGAAGCAGTTTGCTTTCATGCAGGTGGGTCTGTTGGTTGCAGTAGCTGGGCTGTCGTTGAGCGTGCCGGTGGGTCTGCTTTGGGTGAGGGGGTGGTGGGAAGTGGGCAGGGCTATGGGGAGCGGGACCCTCGTGAGGGTGGCAGCAGAAGGCTTTAGATTGTAACAAGAGTCAAGCGTTGGGGTGTGAATGTGCGGCGTGCGGCAAATGGTGCGCGGGGGCAGCCGGAGTTTTGACAGACCAGCGGCAGGGTGCCTTGCAGCCGGCGAGACGAGAGCTTGCTGCGTACCATACACTCGCCATCATGCGGAGGGGCCGCGCCGCCCCTCGACCTCGGCCTCACCCTGCCCTGGCCATCCTGTTGACCGCCTTTGACCAGGTCAACGACGGGTCAAACCTGTCGGGCATCCAGGCGGTGCTGGAGCCGACCACCCCCGGGTTTGACCTCGTGGCCAGTGGCGCCATCACCACGGGTGCGCGTCCTGTGTGCAGTCGACAGTGCAGTCCTTGCACACTGTCTGAAGACACTCGCATTGGGTCCCCGCCCGTGCGCTCTATCCGCAAGCGGCTCGCAGCAGCTCGCGAGAGGCGCGCGCGGCTGCGGCGAGGGCTGCATTCCTAACGAAGGATGCACGCTGCCCTGGCTGGTCTATCGAGCCCCTGCCGCCCTTGCTCCTTGCGCTCTCGCGCGGCGGCAGGCGCGTCTGTGCGCGTCACGGGCGTCCTGGCGGCGTCGGTTGGGGCCAAGCAGGCCGTTGAGATTAAGGCGACCGCGGTGGAGCTGGTGGGTTGTTTTACTCGGCTTTGGAGGGGGATTGTTGAGCTGTGTGTCACACTCGGTATATATATGTCTGCGCAGCAGCGTCACGCCAAGCAAGCGGGGAGCTTCCCAGCCATCTGGCTTCGTGCCGCGCAAGCTGTGTATGCAGCACTGCACGGCAAGCGCTTGGCTGCCGCGGTCCCGAGCAGCGGCGGCAGTCACCCTCATGTTTCAGACTCGCGCTGCCACGTTCCACATCCCTGGACCATCCCAGGAGGGCCCGCCCGCCGCACCGCAACCCTGCCCCCCCCCCAGGTCGGAGGCTGCGACGCCGAGGCGTACCCCCTCCAGAAGAAGCGCCACACGCTCGAGTTCCTGCGCTCCATCGCGCACTTGCGGCCCCGCACCAACACGCTGGGCGCGGTCGCGCGCGTCCGCAGGTGTGCGGGGGCTCCAAAAACGGCTGTGGGCCGCACTCTCTCGTTTTTCAGCTGCGCCTGGTGAATGCCCGACGATGCTCTGTGGGCTTGTGCTGTAATTCGCAAGGCAGCAGCTCAACAACACCTGCTGCAGCGGGCGTCCCTCATCTATCGCCAAGCTGACTTGCACCGAACCGCGTGGCTGCGCGCGGGCGCCACAGATCCCCCGGTCAGCCGCCGGCCCCGTACACCTAAGCTCCACCCACACAAACGCCTGTTGCCCCGCCTCCGCGCTCGCCCCTACGACCCCTGCCGTCCTGCGCTCCGCACGACCGTGCCCTCATCTCCCCCGGCCCCGTGCGCAGCGCGCTGGCGCACGCTACGCACGACTTTTTCGGCGGCGCCGGCTTCCAGCTCGTCCACACGCCCATCCTCTCGGCCTCAGACTGCGAGGGCGCAGGGGAGATGTTCCAGGTGCGTGTATGCGCGCGCGCGCGAGTGTGTGTGCGTGCGTGCGTGCTCGTGTGTGTGCGCGCACATGCATAGGTGTGCTTGCTGTGGCCATCCAGGAGCCCTTTCGCCCCTGGATGGCAGGGATGCAGTGAGGCATGAGGGGGAGGCTTGAGTAAACTCGTCAAACCTTATATTGGGCAGGGGGAGGTCCTTGTCAAACACTGCTGAAGTCGGCCTTTAGGGACGGGGCCTCCTGTGCGTGACTGAGTGGCGCCGCAGGAAGGGCCTCCGCCGGCGGCCCCGGCCCGGCGTGACGCAGGGTGCAGGGTGCGCCACAGTGATCGCGCCCCGGAGCCTCGGCCCGTCAACCCCTCGGCCCCTCCACCCCTCCACCCCCGCAGGTGACCACCCTGCTGTCTCACCTGGAGCAGCCCGCGGGCGCCAACGGCGGCGGCGCGCCCAAGCCCGAGGAGCTGGACGCGGCGCGGCACCAGGTGGGGGCCGAATTGCCAGACCACCACCTAGTCCAGCTAGTTTGAATTCGAAACATCAATGATCTGGGCTGCGGCGGACCCCCAAAGATCTGAGATCAGCGGGGCCGGTGGTGGCGGCCAAGGGGCGTGGCGGCCCGCCGCAGACGCAGCGCATGCAGCGCCGCAGCCGAAGCTCCTCAAAGGCCACGCTCCAGCTGGTGGTGCCCAGCCCTGTCCTCATGCATTTCTTCGTCTTTGTTCTGTGGGATGCCGGCTGCAGGTCTCTCAGCAGGGCCTGGCCGTGAAGCAAGCCAAGGAGGGTGCCAAGGCGGCGGCCGGCGACGCGGCGGCCAAGCAGCGGGCGGAGGAAGCCGTGCGGCAGCTGCTGGCGCTCAAGGAGAAGCTGGCGGTGCGTTTGGCCAGTGCTTTTGACCAGCGGTTGACCGCTTGACCACTTGGCGTTTGTCTGCCATCAGCTTTTGACCCTGGCGCCAGTGCTATGACTTGCCTTCCTTGACTTGCCTCCGCTGTCTTCCAGACCTGCTTAAAGTTGCGGCGCACGACAGCTCTGCTTCGTTGCTTTTTGGAGCCTGTTCAGAAGATTTGCCGCCTGCTCGATCTCCTCACATCAGCCGCCCGCCCTCTGCTCGACCTCGCCCCACCAGGCGATGGAGGCGGCCGCGTCGTCGGGGCAGCTGCCGCGGACGCAGGGGGGCGGCGTCGACTACGGCCGTGACTTCTTTGGGGAGAAGACGTTCTTGACAGTGTCGGGGCAGCTGAATGGTGCGTTGCGTACGCAGTGATGGCCCGCAGGCCGGGGCAGCCCGTTTGGCACGGGCTTTTGGCGTAATGGGTTGGGCAAAGCTTTCGGCATGCAGCTGGGGTCCCTGGGGCAAAGTCTGTCGAGCGAGCCGGGCAGAGGCTGCGATGCTGCCGCCACATCAGTGTGTCATGTTGGAGTGCTGCCTGCAAAGAGGGAGCAAGGCCTGACTAAACTGCCACACCATCCCTCCGGCCCGCAGGCGAGATGTACGCCTGCGCCATGGGCGACATCTACACCTTTGGGCCCACCTTCAGGCGCGTTTGACCGGCGTTGACCGTGCTGTTTGCCCCCCGCCAAACACCAGGCGCCTGGGTGGTGCGCTCGTCAACAGGGTAGCTGCTGTTGGCGTGTTGACAGAGGTGTGTTTGGCTAGGGATGCTGCACTCTGGCTGCGCTGCGTCGTTGGCAGCAAGATCGCGCCCACAGCGGTATCGACCGACATCGTCCCCCGGGTGGAAACTCCCTGCGATGCGAATTCAAAACAGGGCGGAGAACAGCAACACGGCGCGCCACCTCGCCGAGTTCTGGATGATCGAGCCTGAGATGGCGTTTGCTGACCTGGAAGATGACATGGCCTGCGCAGAGGCCTACCTCAAGCACTGCACCCGGTGCGCACGCGCGCGCACGCGCGGTGTGCCGCATGGCTGCCCTGCACTCATGATTTTGTCACCGTGTGCATGCCATTGGGGACCGGCGCATCGGTGGTGCACCGCCGCAGGTGGCGGGGTGGCGCAGTGCTGTCGTGCTGCAGCCTAGGTTCCTGGTCTGAGGGGACGGCCTTGACCTGGCCGCCGAGAAATTGTGCCCCAGCAAGCACCGATGACGTCAGCTGGACACCTCACAAAACCCGTGTGATCGCCGTGCAGGCATATCCTGGAGCACTGCGCGGAGGACCTGGCCTTCTTTGATTCAATGGTGGAGAAGGGCCTGCTGCAGCGCCTGCAGGTGTGCACGCGCTGGATGCAGCGCCGGCGCTGCGCCGCGGGCGCCGGGCCGTCCTGACGGTGTGGCTCGGGGACAGCGCCGCCTAGCAAGCTGCTTGGTCGCACGCCGTGTCTGTAAAAATCGATGCAAACACACTGGTCGAAGCGCCATGAGTAGAGGCTCACAACTTGCGACCGCTGCTTTTGTTTGGCCTTGCTGCAAATGGCAACCACCAGCAAAACAACCCCTGACTGCACCCATCGCAGCTTGGAGAGGCGTGCTCGCAACCGCAATGTGCCGGGATGCCCACAACCACAATCTGTCGCTTCCTCCCGCCACCAACCGCCATAAACTGCCACCAACCGCCACCAACCGCCACCAACCGCCACCCACCGCCGCAAACCGCCGCAAACCGCCGCAAACCGCCACCAGGATGTGGTGGAGAAGCCGTTTGCGACCGTCACCTACACCGAGGCGATCAAGCTGCTGCAGCAGAGCGGCCACAAGTTTGACTACCCCGTGTCGTGGGGCCTCGACATGCAGTCTGAGCACGAGAGGTTCCTCAGCGAAACGGTGTGGTTTGGGGAGTTGGTGCAGTCATGGGAGGACGGCTTGTAGGCTTTGCGTCACCATGCATGTGCATATGCCACTCCCTGCGAGGCCGCGCCATCTGGAATTTTATGGCACCCCCAAACACACGCTTTGTTTGTTCCCCCCACTTCCCATACTGTGCTGCCCCTCTTCCCCTCTAATAGACCTGCCCCGCGCCTCACGCCTGCGCGGCTCCCAGGTGTTCAACAAGACCCCTCTCATCGTGACGGACTACCCCCGCGACATCAAGGCCTTTTACATGCGCCAAAACGACGACGGCAAGACGGTGGCGGCCATGGACCTGCTGGTGCCCAGGTGGGGGCCTGCGGCGGGCGCGGCCTGGGGTGCATAGGGAGGGCCATCACAGCTTGAAAGTAGGGAGGCTACGATGCGATGCCTCTTTGCCGATGAGTGTTGAAGCACGTTTCTTTGACCACCCAAAAAATTCCGGAGCCCCTGGGCGACGTGCCTTTGCCTCACCCCCGGTCGCCAGCCCTCAGCCCTCGACACCGCCTCGCAAAATCGCGCGCTCGACATTGTTCGAACCTGTGCCACAGGGTGGGCGAGCTGATCGGCGGCAGCCAGCGCGAGGAGCGCCTTGACGTCCTCGCGGCCCGCATGGCCGCAAGCGGGCTCAACCCTGAGGTGGGCGCCACCTCAATTCCATCCGGGAAACCCACCTGCTCTCCCCAGTGCCACGGCTGTAGCGAGCAAGCACCGCAAGCGGAGCCCCGCTGCAACGCATTTTCGCAGCACGCGCGAGCTCCTCTCGTCTCAATCAGCTGAAGCTGCACGCCCACAATTGGTTGGCGGACCGCCCGACCGCGCTGACTGCGACGGCGTGCCGCGCACCAAGCTGGGGTCCCCCTGTTGCGCCGACGTGGCCCCCGACCACACCCCACCCGGATTCGATCACCAAGCCCCCTCCCCCTCCCCACAACAAGCACGCACAACACACCCCACACCGCTCCCCCACTGCACCCCCCAGAAAAACCAAAACACTGACAATCCATCCAAATCCACCCCCCCCCCGGCACCACCCCGCCACCCAGGAGTATTCATGGTACCTTGACCTCCGGCGCTACGGCTCAGTCCCCCACGCCGGCTTTGGCCTGGGCTTTGAGCGCCTGGTTCAGTTCAGCACCGGCGTCGAGAATATCCGTGACGTGATCCCCTTCCCGCGCTGTGAGTGCCGCACGGCTGGGGGTTGCCGCGGGGGTTGAGGGGAACTGGAGGGGGGACGCGGAGGGCAGTTGAGGGAGCAAACTGATGCTCGGGCGCTTGGCGTAGTTTCAGCTGGCGGCGACAGGTTTGAATCCACCTGTTCCCAAGGGTGCCAGCATGGGACAGGGAGGGAGATGCGTTGAGGCGTATGCCTGATGTTCAATCGGCCCGAGGAACCTGAGCTGGTGCCGAGCAGCGCACGTTCGAGCCACCACCTGCATAATGCGCAGTTCTCGGTGACGGCGGCGCAAGCCTGCTGCCGCCGCCCGCCTGGGCTGGGTCTGACGCCCCGCCGCCTCAATCCCCCGCCTGGCTGCCTCCGCAGACCCTGGGCACTGCAAGTTCTGAGTCGGGCCGCTTCTTGCGTGCCATCAATGCTGTCAACGACCCAGGGCGAGCACTGCAGACAGAGCATCTGATCATGAGCCCCTCCCCTCCCCAAAGCTCATCACACCTAATTCAGCTGTCTTTGGTGGGGGGGCAGGTGGCAGCCCTGGTGTAACCAAGCGCAGCCCCCACAACCTAGCTGCATCTGCTGTCACCCGGTTGGACGTGGCAGATACCGCAGCCTTGCCTTCACACAAGTACACATCCGCGCCGACCGCGCTGCCGCTTCCCATGCCCCAGAGCGGATTTCTGTCCTTTCGTCGCAAACAGCATCTGGTCATTACCCTGGCCAAATGAGTCGTCGACTGTGGGTCGAGGCGCAGGATCTCTGAATCGAGCATGCCACAGTGGCAGCAAGAATGAGGATCGCGATTGTTACAGCATCCCACGGTCGCCCGATTATGGAGCCAACTCAGGCCCATGGGATTGGACTTTGAAGCATCACAGTTTGAAGCATCACAGCAACAACGGGTTGTGCTAGGCGAGCTGTCTCAGGCGGGTGGCACCAGAGCAGCTCGCACCAACAAGCACACATAGAGCTGCATCGGCGCTGTTATGGTGGGGTGTGCGGCACGAGTGGCAAACTTTCTTGTCGGCTTGCTGGCCCGCGTGCATCTGGATGTTGATGAAGGGGGCATTGTTGTGGCGTGCTGTGTGCAAATGAAGGCGACTGGCTTGCAGAGAAGGGGCGCAAATTTGTGCACCCGCCGCTGTGAGAAAGCGGCACCCAGAGAGTTGAGCCGTGCATCCGCAAGTGCTCAAGGGCGGCATCAGAGAGAGGGCGCACCATGAAGGAATCACCCAAACCACCATCATAAAGAGGGCAACCCAAACAAACTATTGAGGGATAGCGCTTGCTTGGGATGCGACCTGCAGTAACACCCAGCCTGGCACAGGCAAATCAGGGAAGCAAAGCAGGGGGAAGTGGTCGTGAAATGTCTTAATGAGGTGATGTGACGTCCATTCAGAAGCCAGTCAATGACGGCATATTTGAACAAGGCATGTTGGCATGTAAGCTGACTACCTCCGGACCAGAGAGCTTGTTGGCGGCATGTTAACCGTGCCCCGTCTTGGGCGCCGCCTGCCCCGCCCGCCGCGCCTGCTCCTCGCGGCATGCCGCTTTGTGCGCCGGCCAGTAGCCCTTGTAGCATTTGTCAGAGCAGAACCACGCCAGGCGGCACCCGCGGCACAGGTGCAGCCGCGCCCCCTCAGCGCCCTGGGCTGTGGCGCACGCCGCACACACAGCAGTCTGCCGCCCGCCCACGATGCTGCCGGTGTGCGGCTGGTGTGGCTGCCCCGATGTTGGTGCTGTGGATGGGCCTGCGACTGCCTGCTCGGTTTGATCCTCTTCCTGCAGCAGCTGCTGCTGCTGCTGCTGCTGCTGCTGCTGCTGCTGCTGCTGCTGCTGCTGCTGCTGCTGCTGCTCCTGCGGCGGCGGCGGCGGCGGCGGCAGCGGCTGCTGCTGCGGCTGTGCCAGCCTTGCCTCCTCAACTGTGAGCCCCAGCAGCTGATGCCTATAGCACAGGTGCGCCATTGCGTCTCGCGCCTCTGCCTCTACCAACGCCGCGTGCGCCGCCCCTACCCCTGCGAGAGCCCCTTGCGAGGCCCAGCGCAGCATCGACTCCAGCGCGCGCTCTGCGCGCAGCGCGGCAGGCGCCTGCCCCGCTCCCGCTTGCTCTCCGTGCGGCGTGCGCCCCAATGAGCCGCCGCGCTGACTGCCCTCCGCGCGCGCCGTCTCGGCACCCCCTCCTCGCGCGCCGTCGCGGGCGCCGTCGCAGTCGCTGCTGCTGTCGCCGCCGCCGCACTCTGCCCACTCCCTTGCCGCCCACGCCTCGACATCCCAGAGCAGGTCCGCCGCAGCCTCGGCATCTTGCGCCTCTGTGCACATATATGAGCACCGGGCGGCAAACAACAGCGCAGAAGGCGTGGCGGCCATGTCACCCCTGCAGCGCCACCGAAACCTGCAGAGCCACTGCATCAAAGCGATGCCATTGGGGCCTGGTGCGCCCACAATCGCTGCCCAGACGCGCCGCCGCAGGCCCGACGCATCCGTGCCAGCCGCCGCGTTGGCCTCCTCCCACACCGCCAGTTGCTGCCCCTGCTCGCACCCATACAGCAGCACTGCCAGGGCCGACGCGATGGCTGCGCTGTGCCCGCTGTAAAGCCCAGGCACGGCCAGCGAAGTGACCAGTAGCGGCAGCGCCCCGAGCCGCCGCAGCGCGCCGAGCCACGCGCTGCCCTTGTCATCGCCGACGCCTGCGTGTTGTTCTTGCCCTTCCCCTCCTCCGCCACTGCTCGTTGCACGGCTGGCCATGTCCTCGGCTTTTGCCACCAACGCAACCGTTGAGCACATGCCAAAGTGGGCGGCGTCTGCATTCCTGTTTCGACACGCGTCGTCCCTCGCCCGCGCCGCAGCCAGCCATGCGCGCGCCCCCGCCACGAGCGCCGCCGCCGCGCCAGGCACCGTGGGGATGCCGCTGTGGGGCGGGCGCCCGCATGAAACGGCGCCCACGTCAGCGTCCGCCAGTTGCCAGAGCGCACGGGAGGCCGAGCACAGCGCAGCGGCCTCGTGCATGAGCATCTCCTGGCTTGAGGCGGCCGCGGCCGCGGGGACGCCGCCGCCGGCGACGGCCCAGCGGGCGGGGCGGCCGAGGAACGCGAGCGCGTGCTTGGCGAGGTCCCTGCCGCACGCGGTGGCGAGCGCGGCGTGGCGGCCAGGAGCGGCGAGCAGGGCTGCGATTGCGCCCCATATCAGGACCCGGGTGGCGGGTGTCGCGACTGGGTGCTGCGCGTGTGCCGCGAGCGGCGGGAGGACTTCGCACGCGCGCGCCAACAAAGCGGCGGCGAGCGGCGTTCCTGCCTCTGGGTCGTCCCCGCGGCGCAGCAGCAGCCCGGCAAGCACCGCGGCGGGATCCGCGCGCTCTGGCTCCCCCGCGAGGCGCGCGCAGACTACGTCGACGAGCGGCGCCGCGATGCGCGACTGCACTGCCGCCCACGCGGCGAGCGCGGCGCGGCCATCGGCGTCCAGCTGCAGCGCGCCTTCGGCGGCGTCCCCCTCGCCGTCGATGAAAACCTGCGCCAGCCGCACAAACGTCCAGAAATGGTCCCCCTCCTGCGAATACGGACTGCTGCTCGGCGCGTCAATTTGCACCAGAGCCTCGCGCGGCAGCAGCCCGGCGCGGAGCAGCGCCTCGGGCGCGCCGGGCGTTGCCATCACGGCGGCCGCGGCGGGCACCACGGCGTTGCCGCCGCAGCAGAAGGTCTCCCTGACAATCCGGTTGAGCTGCAGCACGCGCGTCCGGGCCTCGAGCCAGTCGATGCCGCTTCCGCGTCCGCCTGCAGCATATGCGCCCGCGACGACGGCGTCCGCGTCCGCGCGCACGGCCGCGGCAGCGGCGGCGGCGGCGCAGGCGGGCGTGCGGACGGAGTCGTACGCGCGGCTGACCGGGCTGGTGTAGGTCAGCAGGATGCCGACGACGGCGCGCTGCCATTCAGGGACGGTTGAGGAGCATAGCTCGTGGACATGGCGGTCCAAGGATTTTGAAATGATGCAATTTAATGGGACGATGGCAGCAAGCGGAGGCGGTAACGCCGAAATGCTTCCAGTCGGTGACTGGGCGGTTTCCCCATCTCCGTGCTCGAGTGTGCGCTTCCAGAGAGGGCGCGGGGCGCTGCAAGGCATGGCGCCACCCACCTCCAATAAGTTGAAAGTTGCATCCAAGGCACTCGACGCCGCACCGACCTCGCCGCTCGCACTGCCGGGGCGCACAACCAGCGAGTTCATGACCTGCACAAACACTGCGGGGCTGATGGCGTCGCCCTCGCGGACCCGGTCGCTGTGATGGCTGAGTGTTCTCTTGATTTTCGTCTCCATGCGCTCTAGTAAGGTCGCGGCGTCTCGCTGGGGTACCGGTGATGCCAGTGCAGCTGCGAACTCGCCAAGAAGGCGTCCATGGTTGAAACCACAAGTATTCTGGGTCGTATCTCCAGCGCTGTAAAATATGGTGCAGGAGCGTCGCTCGCGCCAATGCTGATGCGCCACACTCAATGATGCTGGGCTTGCATGCCGGTTTGCTGCGCTTCAAGGCAGTTGAGGTATGATATCCTTTGAGTAAAGAGAGGCTTGTACCCGTTCAACAACTGACACACACCTGTCTCACCTCTTGACGGCCGTCCCCCTTCCTTCCCTCAGAGGGACGCCCCCCTCCCCCTCACGGCCAAATCGCTGTGAGCCAGTTCTCAAGTTCCGCCTGCCTGCATGCTGCTCTGCCGTTGATTCTTGCGGTCTGGGGAGCTGGGGCTGCAATTGAAGCCACCTTGCAGCCCCATCATCTGTGTCGGCTCACGATGCTGGTGTTGGGGGGGCGCTTGTGGCCTCAGCTTTGTCTGTTATTATCGGCCGGGCAGCGGGCTGGAGACTTGTCAGGCTTGACACCGTCCCACCGTCAGGCTTGACACCGTGTCAAGGAGCTTTTTAATGGGAGGGGTCACTTCGCACCCCACCAGGTTCCTGCATGCCGAGCGTGAATGCGTACCGGCACACGACGCTCGCTGCACATCCGCGACAACGGCTGTTCCTGCATACCGTACTCACCGCACTGCGAGGGGCGCTCGCCGCTTCTGTGTGGCCTTGCAGCGGGGGCCCACGTATTCTAAGCACATGGCTGGTGCAATACGGGTCTCGGTCGCTTGGCTGTCTTCTTGTGGTCATGCAGGTGAGTACATGCGCAAGGACCCCTGGCAGGGTCTGTGGGTGCACTGCAGTTTCTTTGCAAGCTATATATCCATGCTTTTCTTGCATGCTATGTGTGGTCAGGCGGCATTTAATCTCACCCCAGCTGCTGGCATGGACTAGAGTAAGACATTTTGTGCATCCATGTTTCCGCATGCATACCTCGCTGCAGCGGCATCGCTGCAGAACGCGGCGCTGTGCCATTACTGCGGCAGGTGTGTGCTAAATCTGTGGCCGCTGGGGCTTCAAGACACACGCATGCGTGGCTGGGGCTCTGGCACTGAGGATAAGTGCCGTGCACTGCACATAGACAGCGAGAGACAAGACTCAGGCCACCAGGAGGCCGAGCTGGCAATCAGGGGGCGCGCTCGACGCTCCTCAGAGGCGCTCGGTGCCGCTCAGTGACCCTTGATGCTGCACGAGCCAGTGCCCCCTAGCCTGGGTGAGCGCGGGCTGTCGTAGTGGCAGCGCCAGCCACCCCAGCAAGACACCACCTGAGAAATCCTCACGCGCCAGCCGCCTCCTCCAGTGGTGCACCAACAATGCTACCTGCTACGTGTGATTTGTTTTAGGCCTCGCAGCTGGCTGGGTGCACACCGTCGTTGGGCGGGCTCCATGATGTCCTGACAGCGTCACTGTGCAAAGTCTGTGCGCTGACGTTGAAGCAGGACTTCAGTCACGCCGTCACTGCAGTTTGATTCAATGCGCCTCTTTGACTGTGACATTCGCCCTTCTCCACACCTGACATTGCACCTGACAGGCCAACACGCAATTATTTGCAAGCTGGCCAGTACAGTTGAAGAGGTTTTGGCTGCAGCGGGGTTGCTTTGATCGTAAGTGCTGCAAGTGAAGTCATTCAAACACTAGTGGCGGTCCCCCTCAGCCCCCCAATCGTACCTCCCCGGCGCTGCAAGCCACCATCACAGCCACCATCTCACGGGGAAGAGGCGGGGCGAAGTGGTGATTGTGTGCTTGGCGCAGAGTGAGCCTGCGGCGACGCTGATCACACCACATGTCCCAAAGGGTGCCAGCAAGGGGCAGTCAGCGAGGGAGCTGCGTTGAGGCCTATGCCTGATGTGGATCAGCCCGAGGGAACCTGAGCTAGTGCGGAGTGGCATACATTCGAGCCCACCTGCATATTTTGCAGTCGTCGATTACGGCGGCGCAAGCCCGCTGCCACGCCCGGCCTGGGCTGGGGCTGACGCCCCCCCCCCCGCCTCATCCCCCTCCTGGCTCCCCTGCAGACCTTCGGCACTGCAAGTCCTGAGGGCTGGCCGCCCCTTGCGTGTGTGCCATAAATGCTGGTTTTCCACCCACTGGCAAGCACTACAGATAAAACATCTGAGCACGAGCCCCTCCGCTCCCCAAAAGCTTGACACACCTGATTCAGCCGCCGCTCGTGGGGATGCAAGAGGGAGCCCTGCGTGGTGTAACCAAGGGCAGCCCCCACAAACCTAGCTGCATCTGCTGTCACCCGGCTGCATGTGACAGACACCGCAGCTGTGCCTTCGTACACGTGCACATCCGTGCCGACCGCACTGCCGCGCTTCCCAAGCCCCAGAGCTGGATTCCTGTCGTTTCGCCACACCGGCATCCAGTCATCATCATGGCCAAAAGAGTCGTCGACTCTGGGTCCAGGCGTATGATCCCTGAACCAAGTATGCCACAGTGGCAGCAAGAATGAGGATCAGGACTGTTACAGCATCCCACGCTTGCCCCATTATGGAGCCAACCCAGGCTCATTGGATTGGACGTTGAAGCATCAACGGCAACAGCGGGTTCCGCTAGGCGAGCTCTCTTGGGCAGGTGGCACTGGAACAGCTGGCACCAACCAGCCGGTACCCATACAGCTGCATCAGCGTTGTTTCATGGCGGGGTGTGCGGCAGGCGTGGCAAACTTCCTTGTCGGCTTGCTAGCTTGCGTGCATCTGGATGTTGATGAAGGGGGCATTGCTGTGGCGAGCTGTGTGCAAACAAAGGCAACTGGCTTGCAGAGAAGGGCGCAAGTTGGCGCGCCTGCCGCCGTGGGAGAGCGGCATCCCGAGAATTGCGCCATGTGTCATCAAGTGCTCAAGGCCGCCATGTGAGAGGCACATAATACAGGGATCACCCAAACCAGAATCTGAGAGACGGCTACCCAAACCAACAATTGAGGGAAACCGCTTGGTCTGCCAACCTGCTTCAAATTCCAGCCTGACATAGGCAAAAGATACAAGCAAAGCAGCAAAAGAAGGTCGTGGGTGGTATTGGGGAGGTTGTGCGATATCATTTCAAAAGCAGTCAATGCTGGGTAATATTGACAAGGCATAATAGGTGACTACCTCCGGACCAGAGATCTTGTGGCAGCATGCTAATCATGCCCCATATTTGACGCCGCCTGCCCCGCCCGCCGCGCCTGCTCCTCGCGGCATGCCGCTTTGTGCGCCGGCCAGTAGCCCTTGTAGCATTTGTCAGAGCAGAACCACGCCAGGCGGCACCCGCGGCACAGGTGCAGCCGCGCCCCCTCAGCGCCCTGGGCTGTGGCGCACGCCGCACACACAGCAGACTGCCGCCCGCCTACGACGCTGCCGGCGTGCGGCTGGCGTGCCTGACATGACGTTTGTGCTGTGGATGCCCCGGCAACTGCGTGCTCGTTGTGATCCTCCTCCTGCTGCTGCTGCTGCTGCTGCTGCTGCTGCTGCTGCTGCTGCTGCTGCTCGGATTGCCCGTGCACTTGCAGGTGCTGCAACTGCTCCTGGAATCGCACTCGCTCCAAGTGGTGCTGCAATTTCACCTGATGAGCATGCTGTTCCTGCTGCTGCTCCTGCTGCCGTTCCTGCTTCTGCTCCTGCTGCTGCTGCTGCTGCCGTTCCTGCTGCTGCTGCTGCTGCTGCTGCTGCTGCTGCTGCTTTGCCAGCCCCGCCTCCTCAACCGCCAGCCCCAGCGACTGATGCCTGGAGCGCAGGTGCGCCAGCGCGTCTCGTGCCTCCGCCTCTACCAACACCGCGCGCTCGGCCCCTGCTCCCGCACGAGCACCCCTTGAGGCCCAGCGCAGCAGCGACTCCAGCACGCGCTCTGCGCGCTCCCCGTCAGCCGCCTGCGCCGCTCCCGTTTGCTCTCCATGCAGCGTGCGCCCCAAAGAGCCGCCGCGCTGACTGCCCTCCGCGCGCGCCGTTTCGTGGACCCCTCCTCGCCCGCCGTTGCTACCGCCGTCGCTGCCGCCATCGCTGCCGCCATCGCTGCCGCCGTCGCTGCCGCTGTCGCTGCCGCCGCACTCTGCCCACTCCCTCGCCGCCCACGCCTCGACATCCCAGAGCAGGTCCGCCGCAGCCTCTGCATCTTGTGCCTCTATGCACATATGAGAGCACTGGGCAGCATACAACAGCGCAGAAGGCGCTGCGGCCATGTCACCCCTGCAGCGCCACCGGAAGGTGCAGAGCCACCCCATCAAGGCGACGCCTTCCGGGGCTGGTGCACTCACAAGCGCTGCCCAGACGCGCCGTCGCAGGCCTGAAACATCCGTGCCAGCCGCCGCGCTGGCCTCTTCCCACGCCGCCGTTTGCTGCCTTTGTTCGCACCCATACAGCAGTGCTGCCAGGGCCGACGCGATGGCCGCGCTGTGCCCGCTGTCGAGCCCAGGCACGGCCAGCGCAGCCGCCAGCAGCGGCAGCGCGCCGAGCCGCCGCAGCGCGCCGAGCCACGCGCTGCCCTCGTCATCGCCGCCGCCTGCGGGTCCTTCTCCCCCCTTTCCCTGTTTTCGTCCTCCGCTGCTGCGCGTTGCAAGGCTGGAAAGGTCCTCGGCTTCTGCCACAAGCGTGATCGTCGAGCACATGCTGAAGTGGGCAGTGTCTGCGACCCTTTCTTCACATGTGTCGTCCCTCGCCCGCGCCGCCGCCAGCCACGCGCGCGCGCCCGCCACGAGTGCCGCCGCCGCGCCAGGCGTCGCGGCAATGCAGCTGTGCGGCGGGCGCCCGCCTGAAATCGC